GCGATGGATTTATTCTTTATCTCAGGAGTGGGCTCTGCATAAAAAGATGACTTTGACTAATTTCTCTCTTTGTATCCCAAGTGCTCCCCTACTTGCCTTTCTACCATGTTATGATAGCATAAGAGCCCTCATGAGATGCCTGTGCCCTGCTTGTGACTTCCCCGCCTCCAGAATCAAAAGCCAAATAAACTTCCATTGTTTATAAATTACTCAGTCTGGATATGTAGCTCAAAGGTAGACCTGTTGCCTAGACCCTGGGCTCAATGCCAAGAGCCATAAAAAGAAAAAAAGAAAAATAAAGAAAAAAATAATTACCCAGTCAGTAGTATTCCAGTATAGCAGCAGAAAATGGACTAAGGTATCATCTAAATTCTGCATCACATCCCATTAAAAGTACTTAGCCATTTTCTTATTCTTAGCTTAATCATTTGGAAAGTTTACAAACCACCAATTTCCCTGGAAAATTACAAATATTATTAAAAATATATGTTACCACTCAACAATCTGACAGGGGTTCTTCAAATTTAAATGAGATCCTAAAGAAGCCAAGTCTTCTACAACAAAGAACTATCCAGTGCCAAAATATCAAGAGAGCCATTGTTGAGAAACCCTGGCCTAAGCTCTATAAACACCGTTTATCCTGTTAAACTAAGCCTATTCAAATGTAGAACCTTTGTTCCAGTGATCCAATTAACACCCTAATGTAAGCCAAAATACTATGCTTCCTCCACAAATTGAACAGAATGTAGAACGTGAAGAGAATAATTAAACGAAGCAATTCTAAACCCATTTTTCTACCACAATACATATTTTCACATATTCAACAGGTGCACAGGTAAACCCAAAATCTGATTGCTGATTTCTCACAACCACTGACTGAAAGGCATTGTTTCAGCAGATTTCTAGGGGTAGGCCGTACCCAGGCTTTTCCCCTTCTCTCTACTCCAACCACTATGTGTGTGATCACCGCTGTATAAGGTCCACTGCTTACCTTAACCATAGCAACAAATGGCATCACTTTCTTCATATATTTCTTCAATTCTGGCATATTACCTAGTTCACTAGCAATGACTTTGTTATCAGGCAATCTTCCATTGTTGGCCTAAAAATGGGCAAGGGGAAAGAAATGTAGAGGAAAATATTTTAAAGATAACCCAGGACTGCAGATGTACATAGGAAGTCGGTCAGATACACAACAGTGGCCTCTACCAGACTGTGGTACAACCTCTAGTGTCACAGGGAGTGGAAGGTGAATGAACAATGGAACAACGCAAAAGGAATCCTCTAGCTCTCTAAAATTAGAAGATATATGCTTTTTAGTTTAAATGAGAAAAATGAGTGCGATGCACTAAATATTTAAGTTTTTCTTACAATAAAACTCTCTGGGATTGTAACATCAAATCCTACCTGGTAAGAAACTGACAATCATAAAGATCTTATCTTCAGACTTCTAAAAGCATTTTCATTACTCATATTAAAAAAGAAAACTATACAATTATTATACAAATTTATATAGTATTTATTTTTTAATATTCTTCTTTATAAAATGTCACTACAGGGCCAGGGATTTAACTCAGTGGTTCTGCCGCCTGCCTCGCAAGCGTAAGGTCCCAAGTTCGATACCTGGTACCAAAAAAATAAAATAAAATAAAATGTCACTACAGATATGAAAAAAGAATTTCTACTTATCACTGATTAAAAACAGCAACATTTCTATTTACTCAAAAATAAACATCTTTATCATGTCTCACTAATGTGCATACAGTCCTAGACGTGCTGTATAAATTTTAAATTCTTCTGCAAACATCAATGGCCCCTTCAAGTAAAGTAAGAAATAAAGCAACTTGATTTTTCAGAGTTTTGGATGATTTTATTTTCTCTTACTTATAAAAACCAAAGGTTGAACATGAATCTCAATGAAAATACTGTATAATAAGATTTCAAATAATCTCTATTTTCAATTCTAACCTTTTCCAAAGTTCACAGGAAAAAAATATTTCCTCCCCCTGTCAATGTTCTCATTTGAAACACATGAAAAAGAGGAAGATGAGAAACATTCCTTTTCCTTATGGCACCAAAAAGGTGCCATCTTCAACACTCTTCTTCACAGTATACCAACATTCTTTTAGTTCTTTTGGATGAAAACAAAGAAATAGGTAATGCCAAAAGATGATGTTGCTTTGAAACAATAAATCTAGTCAAAGAACACTCAGTAAAAATATAACTTCTGAAAGAACAGAAATGTGATGGGACATTGCATATTGTATTTGATTCTTTTACTACTTCTCTGAAACTAATGTTTGACTATGTAATCCACAGAGGCATTTTCATTTATCTACCTATAGAAGTAGCTTTTACCTTTTATGTATAAAATTCAAAATCTGAGCTAGGTGTGGTGGTGCATGCCTGTGATCCCAGTACGCTGAGGCACAAGGAGGCTAGCTTTACATTGTGAGTTCAAGGCCAGCCTGAACTACATAATGAGACCAAACAAAACAAACCAAACCAAAACAAAAAAATCCAACCCAACCCAACCCAACCAAACAATAACAAATCCGTAGCCAGGCATGGAGGCATATGCTTATAACCCCAGCCCTCCAGGAGGTTGAGGCAGGAGGACTGCTGCAAGTTCAAGGCCAGCCTGGGCTACATCGTGAGCTGAACTATATAGCAAGACTCCATCTCAAAGTGACACACACACACACACACACACACACACACACACACCTGCAATAATTCTAAAAGCTACCTTCTATTTCAATCACACATGACCAAAGGCAGAGGAGTTCTCCCTAAAATAGATTCACAAGAAATAAAAAAATACTTGCACTTCTATTTCCATCAAATTTTAAAAATGTAAAAGCAGCTTTTCTGAATATTTCTGAACTATGCAAAGTATTACAGAAAAATTCTAATAAAGATCTGAAAAATCAACACTACAGATTTTTCTTTTATGATGCCAGTTGACATTTTAACCACAATCTATCTTATGTCTGTCTCTCAGTTTGAAGTACAACTTAACAGTTTGAGTCTACCAATAACACTAATAATCTGGGTTAAAAAAAAAAGTCAAAATTACACAACATACACCACTCTTTCCACACTCTGACTGGAAACTAAAAATGGGTTTTTTCTTTAGGAAAACTTAGAACTAAGTTTAAATACCAAATTCCCTTCAAAAAAACTGTCATAGTTCATAGCTATTTACTCAACAGATTCAAACATCTTTGAGCATTACCTTTGTATAGATATTATGATTATATAATTGAGCATCATTTTCTTTTAAAGTACTCAAGAACCAAGATTGAAATATAATAAGATTATGACTTCATGAATCCTACTGTTCCAGCAAATTCAAAAGGCAGGCTATCCTTTTAATTAATAATTTTAACTGTGTATATGAAAAACTGACATATGACTAGGTCCTGCACATTTTTGTATGGAAGTTTCAGAAATAATAAACAACAGCAGCTTTTCCCCCAGCCCTGACTTACGAGCTACCAAGAATAACAAAGGATGCTCCTTGCCTAGGGGAATTAAACAAAGCTGCCTGTCTTCTTTCCCCCAGACATTGTGAACATCCTAAAAACAAAACGACTTAAGCAGGACACAGCACAGTTGGGGGACAAGTCTACTGAGAGCATCACCTCAAAGTGGTTTCGCAGAACCGACAGGGTAGTGTGCTGCCAAGGCGGGTAATTCTTTGCCACATAAATGGTGCAGTGTGAAGGCCTCTGAGGTGGCTGCTTCTCAGTCTTCTATATAATAGAAAGAAAGGAAAAAACACTACCCTTCATTAAACCAGCAATGAAACTACTCCCCAATATATACTACCTATGCATTTAACATTTAAAATACATAAGCAGGCCGGGGATTTAGCTCAGTGGTTCGGTGGCCTGCCTTGCAAGCGCAAGGACCCGAGTTCAAGCCCCAGTACCAAAAAAATAAAATAAAATACATAAGCAGAGCCAAGCACAGTGCCGTACACTGTAATTCCACCACACTTGGAGGCTGAGATAGGAGGATCACACACTCAAGCCCAACGTGAATAACTCAGGAGACTTAGCAAGGCTCTATTTCCAAATAAAACATTAAAAATGGCTGAATACATTGTACACAGCTCAGTACAAAGGCCCTGGATTAAATCCCCAGCACCCCCACCCAAAAAAAATCAAATTCACACAGAACTATATTAACAGTGGATATATACTACACATTTGAACAAAAGCGGTCTTAATTTCCATCAATGCTAAATGTTATCTGAAAAAGAATTAAGATGTGCTATGTATATGTACCAATTTCCCATGGGGAATATGATCATCATATACTACAAACATGTACAAATGAGAAAAGTTATTTGATCATTTTTAAGGAATAATCTTTTTTTAAAAAAATCTTTTTTAAATGACTTCACCTTCCCTTTAGCTGGCATCATATAATTCTTGAGTCGTAATCTAAGGTCATGTGCTACTTCCGTGAGATACTGTGAGGAACGAATCAAGATTTCATCCACAGGACCCGCCACAGGCCATGAAGCATTCATGATTGAGTCAGACTTTAAAAAAAAAAAGGTTAAGTGAAATTGGTTGTTCAGTACAACCATTTTACAGTTCTTGCTTAGTTTTATACCAAGCCTCCAACTGTAATTGTGTGCTCTAAGTTCAAACCTGACTACACATAACACATTTCCACAGCCCCTGATCTAATGTTCCCTAGAATTCAGGCTGTGAAATCTGACTCCACATTCTTAATTAGCATCCATTTGTACGAGCACATTAATACCCACACACATATGCTCACTTTCAAAGAAAATTATGTAATGCTAATTTGCCTAAATTTAATCATTATATAAATTATGCACACTCTCAGTTTTTAATCCTATTAACACAGCCAATAATGAAAGTATATCTATTCAGTATATAGATCATGAGAACATTTTTGTATCTTACGTGCACGAAAAATAGAAAACCTGGCTAGTAAGGTTGGAAAGGAGTTATTAGACCAGCCAATCTATTTATCTGCAAGCCTGGGAGAAATAATCGAATTTATCTTCATGGTAAGAATGCTAATATAATATCCCTGAATATGTAGTCCTATACATATCAAGAATTTTGTATAAAACAAGAATATTTATGCAAATACGTTTCTATCTTTGTTTATAAGCAGCTTAAAACAGCTGTTTATACCATTCTCAATATTTTCACTTTTTTAGTAGCTGGAAGAACAATTATTATAAACACATTTAAATGTACTTCATTTCCTAAGAGATGAGAATTAGGTGGGCAATAAGAAACATGTGATCACATTTTCAAAATATATGTACTGTGCAAAAGTACAAGATCCCAATAATGAATGTAACTGTACTGTATACCTAAAATGTACCAATAAACTCAATGAGGAAAAAAAATATATATATGTACTGTGCACACATGTGTAAATACCGAATAGTTTCCCTGGTGTGAATAATCTGCAATAATACATTAGATCCTAATAAGATTACTTACATTTAGAAATGGGAAGAAAGGGGCTAAAGGTGTAGGGAAGGTGGATTGGGTAGGGGAAGGGTAATAAGGGAAAAGAAAAAAATGTGAGAAAATGAAAAGATGGAAATAAAGTGTTTGTAGATGGGGAGGGGAGGAGGGGGTGAAGGGAGGGCAGGGGTAAGGGGAAAAAATGAGAATCAAGACTTGTCATGCAGAGGTACAAGATCCCAACAATGAATGTAACTGTACTGTTTCCCTAAAATGTACCAATAAACTCAATTAAAGCTGAAAAAAAAAAGTATATATGTACTGTGCATACATCAATAAAGGCATATATATGACTGCCTGTCTTATTTAGCTGCTTTAACCTATTGTAATAATTATGATGATAAATCCAGTATTAATCTTACATACTGTGCTTACTTTCAGCTTTTTTTCTCTCAACAGAGCCAAGCATAGTAAATATCACAAGACTATCATAAGGCCAAAATTTTACACCATTACAAATTTTTATACCAATAAAGGTACCTTTCCCAGGAGTGTCCAGATGTGCTCACATAAGTGTGGACAGAATGGAGCCAAGAGAAGGGTCTGAATTTCAATAAACCGGAACACGAGTTCTCTGTGCATCCCTTCTATCGCCAATTCACGGTACTTATCTTTTGAGGCCTATAAAATTTGAAGTTATTTACCATTCCTTTCATTTTACTTTGAGAAAAAATTCAGTATCTTGGTTTCAGAGCATTTTAGGGTTTTAGTCTTTTAAAATTATGTAATAATTACATTTTATCTTTTAAATGTACAAGTAAATGTATTATCATCAATCTTTGTTCAAAGGGTATTTCAGTTTTACATTAATTATTTTTTACACAAAAGTATGTAAAAAAGTCTTTCTGTAACTGAAACAAAAAAGTTGAACAATTTTAACTGTACTGAGGGTGAATGCTCTGAGCAACATATAAAATATTAAATATTTAAAAAACACTATGAATACAACACATTGATATGCTCAGCACCTATCTTTATTTAGCCATGTCTCTGAAAACAAAGTTACATAAACCCCATACATTTGTGATATTTTACAAAATTAATCAACTAAAACTGGAGTCTTACTTTAAGCCCTTGAAAATTTGAGTAAATACTGACACCTTGTGGAAAACATGTGAAAACATTTCGTTTCAAATTAACAGCAATTAATTACAATTTTGCCTTCATTTTTATCAATTTAAGAATGTTTTCCTTGGATTAAAGATGTAGTTCATGATAAAGTGCTTGCTTAGCATGCACAAAGCATTAGGTTCAATCCCCAACACCACATGCACACACATCTGGAATCTGTGGCTGATAATTACACTTAATCTTATTAATGTTCAAGGATCAAACAGAAGAATTTTTTATAGTAAATGATACAAAGAAATTACTTAAGAATCACAACTTATTGAAGAACTTAAAAGCTTAGCAAGCTTTTCATTCTGCATGTTAGACATGCAATTATGCTATAGCAGGAACAAGAAAGGAGAAAATATATCATATTCACTTTTACATGTTTTATACATACCAAAAGAATAGCATACCTGAAACTCAAAAAACCCTGTTTTCAAAGCTTCTTTAAACATCATTTTTTCATAGTTTTGATCTGTTTTTATAATTCCTGCATTCATTTCACTATTGAATAGGAAAAAAGGTCATTGGGTTTATATATATATATGTATATATATATAAAGCAGCTGCAAATACTTGTAAGTAAAATGAGAGTATCTGAAACATTTCAAATTGCTCAATAACAAAACAGTCTTTGTGCTCTTTAAAACTACTATAGTCACAGGGCACAGGGATTTAGCTCAGTGGTTCTGCTGCCTGATTTGCAAGTGCAAGGTTCCGAGTTTGATCTCCAGTAACCCCCACAAAAAAACCTATTATAGTCATTCTGCTGTTTATTCATCCTGAGCACTGTACCACTGTCTTTCAGCATCCCTATCTATGATAAGTTAGTAATTCCTGTTTTAAAATTCCCTGATGGAAGCTTCATTATAAAGCTCAAATAAAACCTGAAAAGAACCTAACTAAGCTTATAGCCAGCCTTCAATTATTGCATTGTAAATAACTGACACTGGACACTAGAAAAAGATTTGCTCTTACCACCTCAAGCTTACTTAATTTGGCCTAATCTGGAACCAGTCTTTTTTCTATATCTTCTACCTCTGCCCTCTACATATTGGAAGCCAAATAGCAAACCCTTTCCATGTCTTATACATGGCTCTTTCCTTTCCTTTATTTTTCAAGAAACCCAGAATCCACACGTCAGAATTATCTTTATCCTTATTATTGCATTTACAGTGGCTTGAATGTTTGTCTCTCCTGGTAGACAACAAGAAAGAATTTTGTCCTTTTTTTTTTTTTTTTTTTTTTTTTTTTTTTTTTTTATTGAGACAGCGTCTCACTTTGCAGTTCAGACTGGCCTCAATCTCACAGAGATCCTTCTGACTCAGCCTTCTGAGTGCTGGGATTACAGGCCTTAAGAATTCTGTCTTACCTTTGTTTTGTTTTTGTTTTTTTGGTACTGGGGATTGAACTCCTGACCTTGTGATTGCGAGGCAGGCAGTGGAAGCACTGAGTTAAATCCCAGCCCATCTTACCCTTGTAATACCAGTGCTTAGGACAGCTCCTGATAGGAAGTTGACAATGTCTTTCGAATTAAAAAAATTTCTTTCCCATTTCTTTTAATCTACTTTTCCTTTAATCATTCTGCTCTATTCTAATAATGCAAGACAACCTATAAAAATGTTTATAAGAACAGCAACAGGTTTTAGAGACAGACAAAATGACTCATGCTTGTAATCCTACCTACTTGGGAGGTGCTAAGGTAGGATGATCACAAGATTAAGGCCACCCTGGACAACACAGGGAGACCAGGTCTCAGAAAAAAAAGACATAAACAAGTACATATCTCAAGTTTTCTTTTTTCTCTTCTTTTATTATTATTATTACTTTTGACACCAGGGATCAAACTCAGGACCTTGCACTTGCAAGGCTGGCATGGTGCCACTGAGCTAAATCCCCAGCCCTCCAAGTTTTCAATACTAGCTTCCAGGCATTTAATAAAGTACTGAATTTTCCTAAGGCTCAGTTTCTTTATCCACAAAGCAGAGAAATAATACCCTTATCATATATAACAGTGCTTGGACGCTAAAGCCAGATAATGGATGCAGAGTGTTTAGCATACTGCCTGGCACAAGTAAGCCTTCAATGAATAATAGCCATCATCATCATCTAATTTATTTTAGGGGGAAAAAAAGACAAACCTATGCACTAAGCAACTCTACAAAGTGGTTGGGACCCACACATTACCTGGCAAAAACTCTATCATTGAAAGTGCTGGCAGGACCACTCCTTAGGCTGTCCCAGTTGGCCACCATTTCTTTCACCCATTCCACCCAGGTGTACAGACGGAGAATACCTGCATCTGCCATGGCTTCCACAAAGTTGGCATCTTCAACAGTATCACCGGCATCAGCCAGAGCCAGACGCATTCCTAAAGGAAGGGGAAAAACATATCGATGAATTAAAATACAGTTATTGGGGCTAGCACAAGGTCCTGAGTTCGATCCCTTGTGACAAAAAACAAAAACAAAAACAAAAAATATGGTTAATGAGTACTGATCATACACCCACCTGGGTACACTACAAAGCCCACATATAAATTAAGAAATAACAAAACTAAACAAAAAAATCTAAGCCAGACATGGTGGCGCACACCTGTAATCCCAGTACTCGGGAGGCTGAGGCAGGAGGATCGCTGTGAGTTCGAGACCAGCCTGAGCTACATAGTGAGTTCCAGGTCAGTCTCAACTACATAGTGAGACCCTGTCTCAAAAAACAAAAAACAAAACAAAACAAGAAACAACAAGTATTTTAAAGTACTATCCTAGGTCAACAACAAAAATAAAACCACCAATAGTAGGGTTCATACCTACGTTGCTCAACCATCTGTAACAATCTGCATACTTCTTATCAATATACATTTCTTCTGACCCATGTTGAGATATGAGATAAAGTGATATTTAATGAGGCACAGGACAAAAATGATAAATGGGATACACATTTCTTTGTGATTTCCCTATCAGCATCTCAGCCTCATTTAGAGGTAGCAAAATATTATGATATTTAATGCATGAGATCACACACAGGTGCCCTGTGTATACAAATGCATATTTAATTTCTCAATCTTAAAATTAGGTTCTCTCAAGTTTTCTGTTAAAGTTTAGTTTTTATGTTTCTTATTTCTGAGTACTATCAAAACCTTCCATTTGAAAATAGTGGAGAAAATATTCTAATAAGACTAATTAAATAAGCTACCACACATATCGCTACAATGGAACATAGTATTGCTGGAAAAAAGAAACATTATTTTCCAGCATGGAATGATCTCAAATATGAACTGCTAAGTGAAAACAGCAAAGTACAGAACAATTTATGCAGCATACTATCCTCTGTGTCTTAAAGGCAGAAAATGAGAATTTGTAACATTGAGCTAGGTGTGCATTAAGTGTCTTTCAGAATATACAAGAAAGTAAGACTTCTTTAACTTTTTAACGTAACTTTATACTTACAGAAAAAATTATAAAAAGCAGTAGAGAACCAATGTATCATTCACCCTGCTTTGCACATGTTAACAACATATAACTCCAGTATCAAAACCAGGAAGTTAACATTAGTCCAATACCAGTAACCAGGTTCCAGGGATTTAGCTCATGGCAAAATGTCTGGCTCATAAGCTCAAGGTCCTGAGTTTGATCCCCGGAACCCTCCCCCCACAAAAAAATTACTATTAACCAAATGACAGACCTTTTCCAATGTTTTCCTTTCTCTATTCCAGAATCCAATTCAGAGTTCCACACTGCATTTAATTCTTGTGTCTCCTTATCTCTTGAAATCTGACAACTTCTCAGTCTTTCCTTGCCTTTCGTGACGCTGACACTTCTAATGAATATCTTTTACCAGAACTGCTCTCAATTCTGTATATGTGCGGTATTTCCTCATGATTAACTGAGGATGCAAAACTTTTGTAAGGGTAACACAAGTAACACAAAGCAGATGCTGTGTCCTTCTCAGGGTACTCTCGGGAAGTACATGATATTGATATTACTCACCACCAGTTTACTAATCTTTATCACTTGATTAGTAAGGGGTATCATGTTTCTCTACTATGAAATTATTACTTTTCCCTTTCTAATTTATAAATATCTGGAGAAAAATAATCTTAAGAATATGCAAATGCCCTGTTTCTTCTGAAATTTTCACTCAATTTTAGCAATCATTTATGAATCTTGCCTATAATTATAACCATATTGCTCATCTAATAGTACTTTTATATTTCACTCAGTATTTCTACATTTATTTAGACTTTAAAGGAAAATGTCCCTATGACCCTACTGATTTGGGGGTGGGGTGTGGGCAGCAGAACTGAGACAGACTACCTAGTTCAGGGTGGTCTTGAACTAACTGTGCAGTGCAGCGTAGGATGGCCTTGAACTTGCAGCAATCCTCCTACTTCAGTCTTCTGAGTGCAGGGATTACATGCCCAGCTGATTTTAGAATTTATTTTACTCACTGAATTATAATCCAACACTATCATTATTTAAGTTTTCTAAATTGTCCTAGCATGGGTCATTGAAAGCTCGTTCGAGTCAGTTCTTGTGTCCTTTCAACACATCCCCATCTAGGCTTTGGGGATTACCTCAGTGGTAAAGCACTTGCTTAACAAGCACAATGCCCAGGGTTCAAACCAAACCAATGCAAAAGAGCAAAAAAAATCCCCATTCTTTTTTGAGCACTTCTTTATTTTCTAGCCCTACGGGATGTTTACCATTCATCTTATATTTTCCCTTCCTCAGCCCTTGAACTAATCACCTCTTCTAAGAGTCCCAGTTCCTTTCTAGAACAGTATCTAGAAGTACCAGATTTTTGTTTTGTTTTTGAGACAGGGTCATGTTATACAGTACAAGAATGATTACTATGGTTCTAGGAGTCAAAGGTTTACAAAAAGGTAGACTCAGAGTAGTGGGTCCCTCCTTATCTGTAATAACCAATTTCCATTCTGCCCAAGTCCATCTATCTGACAGATACTAATCGGTCTCGTTTCTAGCTTATCACTCTAGTGTTTTGCTTTGTTTTGTTTTTCTTTATTGGTACATTTTAGGTATACAATAGTCATCCCTGAGATCTTGTACCATTACATGATACATCTTGGTTCTTATTTCTTCCCCATTCCCCTGACCTTCCTTCACTCCCTTTACCCTTCCCTATACAAAGACTTTGTTTCCATTTTTTTCCTTTTTTCTTATTTTTTCTATTCCTTTGTACCTTTCCTCTACCTTCCCACTTCCCCTAAACCTTTAGACCTTTTTCCCTATTACACAATATCAATTAAACATTTTGATTCTTATTTACACTTTTAGTTTATCACACCAGAGAAGCTATTCAGTATTTACACGTGTGTTCTATTAATTTCACTTAAGAGTATGTCCTCAATGTGCATCCAATTAGCTATAAATGTCTCTAGTTTCTCGTTCTTTATGGCTGAGTAGTACTCTATCTGATAAAAAAAACACACATCTTCTTTACCCTTTATCTTCATTCTTTTTTTTAATTAGTACATGCATATATTCATATCTGATATTTTATTAAGTGAGGGATATGATACGTTAGTCTTTTTCACAGTTTACTTTTTTGTTTTTGTTTTGCTTTCATTACAAAGTGTATGTTGGCTTTTCAGGAAGCTAAGGCAAGAGGAGTCCCAAGTTCAAGGTCAGCCTAGGCAACTTAAAGATCCTGTTTCAAAAAAAAAAAAATAGCTGGGATATAGCTAAGTGCAACAAAGGATCCCTGAATTCAATTCCCAGTACTGCCAAAATATATAAATTATATATACATATTAGAAATATATAACATGGGCGCCGCCACCTGCCTCACAAGTGCAAGGTCCCAAGTTCAATCCCAGGTACAAAAAAAAAAACACATACATATCATATAATACATGGTTTTATGTAATTACATATATTATATAGTTGTTAAAAGGCAAAAATGAGAATGATCACTATAAAATGATACACAGTGATTTCCAAGATCTTGGTTTTAACCACTACACAGGACTCCACTATGAAGCCGTACAATGGTTTATTCACTTACCTTCCTATACAAAGGCACTTACATGATTATGATATTTTCTAAGAACAATGATGCTAGAGTAAATAATGGACATATTTTTATACTGTTGGAGGTACAGCTTCATGGTAAAAAACTAGAAGTGGAACTGGGGCTAAAAAGATAGCCAGGTGTGGTGGCATGAACCTATAATCCAGCACTCTGGAAAGCTAACGCAGGAGGGTCAAAAGTCTGAGACTACTCTGGGCAACTCAGTGATACCCTGTCTCAGTGTAAAAAATAAAAATGGCTGTGAATGTAGCTCCTTGTGAAGACCCTGGACTCAATCACCAGTACAAGGAAAAAAAATGATAAATTCTGTTGAAAAATGCCAAATTTATCTCTGGGATGTCTGTATCAAATGTGCGTTCTCACTAGAGATGTACTAGAGCAAGTGTGAGTGTGGAAAAACTGACGATACCGAGGGGCTTAGAAAAGCGAGTATTAGGCCGGGGATTTAGCTCAGTGGCTCCGCCACCTGCCTTGAAAGTTCAAGGACGCAAGTTTGATCCCTGGTACCCCCCAAAAAAGGGAGTATTTAAAAATTAAAACACTAATTTTACCTTGTCTTGTGTAATCTAAGGAGAATCAGACCTATGTGACAGCAATAAGAAAAACGCATAATGTACTCACCATCAGCTGAAAATTTGTCAACAGCTTGGGCCAAAGTGAGGAAGTTGCCTGTGGATTTTGACATCTAAATCAGAAAGTCAATGATCAGGGATTAAAAACAATATATATAAACAAGCCAACTCAGCCAAATCAAATTAAGTAGACTGGCTATCAAGAGATGTAATAAAAGAACCAGGGATTTAGCTCAGTGGTTTTGCTTCCTGCCTGGCAAGCACAAGGACCCAAGTCCGATCCCCAGTACCAATAAAAAGAAAAAGAAAAAAGCAAATTTGAAACACAGAAATAAGAGGGATGATGTAGCTCAGTGGTGGAGTACTTGCCTAACATCACAAGGCTCTACGATCAATCCCTAGTACTGCTAGTAAAATGAAATAAATTGCACACAAATCATAAAATGACTTTACATGAATTTTAAAGAAGCAAAAACTGAGTGATCCAATGAAGTTACTTGTCTGGGTGACAGACCCAAGACAGAGATCTCCAGTCTGACACTGAGGTCACAGTGATTTTCACTGGCCTACCTGGCCCCAGGTAACTGAGTGGGCATGCGAAACCATTCCACTCTAAACAAATACTTCAGCTCCTAACAGAAGAGTTTTACAGTACTCAGAGACATTCAGAAGAGGAATGGAGCAGCTCACGAGGCTAGAGTTAGGATTTTAACAACCCTCCTGTCATTACAATAACAGTGGTTGTTTAAATTGTGCCCTAGGCCATGCATCTAGGAAAGCACTAGCAATCTTTAATATTTTAGAACTTTTTATGTTATCATAACTTTGCTGACACCAATTAGGTGACTATTACATCAATTTTATATAATTATGGCAATAAAGTATCTTATTCTAACAAAACCAGTATAGTACAACAATATTCAGATAGACTATATATTTATATATATATTTGTTGTCGTTGTTGTTGTTGTTTTAATTGGGGACTGAATCCAGGGTCTATGCACTGAGCTACATATCCCCAGCCATTTTTATTCTGAGACAGGGACTTACTAAGCTACCAAACTGCCCAGACAGGGCAAAAATTTGGATCCTCCTGCCTCTGCCTCTCAGAGTGCTGGGATTACAGATATGCACCACCATGCCCAGCAATGGACACAGGAGGGTTTCCACTTTCAAGTGGCAATGAGCCTTACCTTCTCAGAGTTGAGGAGGAGATGTCCATTTGCTCTCACAGCTTTGGGCCATTTGTCACTTCACAAGAAAATGTTTGAAGACAAAAGATTGTGGTTTAAACTTAAAATTTTGAAGAAAATGTTAATAGATTCATAAAAGTTTGCTAAGATAATATCCAAGAATAGTAAGTGCAGTTCTGGTTTGTTTTTGTTTTAGGTGGCATCCAGGGCCTCACATATGCTAAGCAAGCACCTTACCACCGAGCTACACCCCCAGCGGCAGTCCTTATTTATTTATTTATTTATTTATTTATTTATTTATTTATTTTGGGGGTTTTTGTTTTGTTTTGTTTTGTTTTTTTCTTTTTTGGTACCGGGGATCGAACTCAGGTCCTTGCACTTCGCAAGGCAGGCGGCGGAACCACTGAGCTAAATTCCCGGCCCGGCAGTCCTTTTTTAAATCCCCGGCCTGGCTGTCCTTTTTTAAAAGGAAATAAATGAAAACAACCAAAGGACTGGCTATATAAATTATGATACCAGCATACTGTACAATGACATAATTATTTTAAAAATATAAACAGGGATATAAGTGACTATAAAAAGTTTTTAAATATATTATGTGGAATAAATGAGATAGACTAGGGCATATAATGTGGTATCACTGCATGAATTTAAAATTATAAATACCTGATGCCTGTATATTCATAAACATTTTTAGCAGAAGTAATCCCAAGAAACCAACAGCAGTGATGAACTTTTGGAAGTAGAGTATCACACACGAAAGTTCACTTTAACATTTTCAAACTACACTCATTCATTCATGCCTTCATTCTAGCAGTGAGACTGTATAGGTCAGAAGAAGTGAAGACAAGAGTCCTGGACCAAACTCTGGTTTGCATCTAGCTCTGCCCCTTACTAGCTGGGCACCTTTGGGTAAATTATTGACTCTTTGATTCAGTAAGATTCCCTGTCTGTAAAATGCAGATATAATAAGAAGACCTTCTTTAAAAGTTATAGAGAGAATGAAAGCAGTTCCTAAAACGTGTCTGACAGAAACAATTCATGTCATGACTTATCTGTAATTTTTTTAAAAATATGTGTAAAAAACAAATGGGTGCTTTAAAGGCATAAAGATTCTGTTTATCAGTAAAAGCTACTTCTGAGAGACCCAACTGCTCTAAAAATACATTTTTTAAAAAGATATTTATTTGTTTATCTAATCAACAGCCATATACCCAATTTCTGAATCTTGTTCAGGTAGGTTTTTTTGGGGGGGTAGAATTGAGGAATGAAGCCAACGGTGGTCATCACTAAGTTGCGTCCCAGCCCTGTTTTTTTCAAGACAGAGTCACCCTAAGTCACCTCAGCTGGCCTCAAATTTGTAATCCTCCTGCTTCAGCTTCCCCAGTAACTGAGATTACAGGCATAAACTACATTTTAGACAAAAGAGAAAAAATTGTATGTAGAAGAACAACATTTGGCTTATTTTATTTCAGTACCTCAAAATCTTCACTTTTTTGCTTTTTGTTTTTATTTTTGCTTTTTTGAGATAGGGTTTCACTATGTAGCCCAGGCTGGCCTCAAACTCAAAGTGATACCTCTGCCTCAGCCCCCTGAGTGCTGGGATCACAGGCATGCACCACCACACCCAACTTCCTATCATTCTTAAGGGGGAAAAAAATATCAATCTAAATACAAGAAGTTATATGATATTATTTTGATTTTATGAAATAGAATTTGGAGGAACTAGAGGGAAAGACAGAGATATGTCTGGGTCAAGAGGGAAAAAAAAGGATGAAAGAACCACACAAAGTATGTGGACCCAACTTCTAGTCAGAACACTGCTAGCAGCTAAAGCTAGATTCCTGGGGTCCCAAACTATACAGAGTAGGTCGAGGGCAGACCTGTCTTATATTCTGGCATCTAAAAGGTCAAATGAATTACCAGAACACCAACAACACATCTGAAATAGGACTTGTGGTAGCCTGAGGTGGGTTATGAGGACTTCTATATACGTAAGAGAAGGTGTGCTTTTCTGCATTAGTATAAATTAAGAAAAGTAATGTCATGGGCAAATCTAGCTATACCTTCCACAATAATTCCTTGAATTATTTGAAGCCACAAGATATCTCTGTTGACAATAAGTTCAGTCCATATGTGTTTAAACATTCACCTTTGTTCTGTCCACATAGCCACATGATTATAAAGGTAATATGAAAGATGATTCGGAATAAGATCCTTGCCAGAGACTCGAAGATCCACAGGATACCAGAACTCAAACTCCTGCTTTAATTGATCTAATTTTTCCTTTGGGATCTGAGTCTTAGGAAACAGAGCATCCTTGAAGAAAATATAATCCCAAACTTCCTTAGTCATTTGTTGTGGTCTGTATTAAAATAAAACAAACATTATATTTACAGTTTGAACCCAGAACTTTTCCACTGAATACATCCCCAGCCTTTTTTGTTTGGAGACAGTTTCACTTAGTCAGTAAATCACCCAAGCTAGACTTAATCTTCTGATCCTCCTGCCTCAGTCTCCCAGAGTGCTGAGATTATGGGCACTCCCACCTGAGAACCTTTTTTTCTATTTTCAAGAAATTTTATTTCACATAAATTTTATATGTGACAAAAATAATATATGCTTGAGCCTGTCTCCCAAATAGATTTTTTACATTAAATCTTTCTTAATGTAGTTATAGTAACAAATAAGAATGGGCTTCCACTAAAATGAAGAATGGAAAATAATAATAGAGGGGCTATATGTTAATTTTTCTTGATTTCATAGTAAAAAAAGCAAAAACATTATGACAAAATTCTCCTAGATCAGCTCTTCAAAAACTCATATAAAAGAAACTTTTCAATACATAAATCCAAAGCTGACAACACTTACTAACAAACTCTGCTCCTTTTTGTTAACTATTTACCAACCTTATCGCCAAAGGGGACTCTGCCTGTCCCCGCAAGTCACCCCCCTGTAACAGGTGTGCAACTGTGTAAAAGGCCATGTAAATTGTGGAGTCCGAGAGAGACTCAATTAGCCACTGCTCATCCCAGGGCAGGTGAGTGCCTAGAAAAGAGAAAGAAAATGAACACTAGAGGAACCTCAAGCACTTCATTCATAGAATTCATGTTTTTAAAAAGAAAAGTGGCTGCTTTACCAATGAGCTACATCCTCAGCCCTTTTCAGTTTTTATTTTGAGAAAATAAATTGCCCCACTTGGCTTCAAACCTGTAAAGTATCTAACTCAGCCTCCTCAACAGTGAGGATTACACATGTGCCACCATAAACAGGAAGTTTTAAAATTCTATTTGAATAATTAATAAAAATAAAATGATTCACAAAAAGGAAAATAGTGAGGTTCTGGAATCTATTTTTTTTAAATCACCCAAAAAGCTGTGACCTATAGAAGACATATTTCTACCACCAGGTCGATGGTAGGGGACATTCTAGCTTCCTACATCCTCTACCGAAATCTGTCACTTTCAACTGCAAAAACACTGAGAGGAAAAAAATGATTAAAGTGCGTATGTGCTGTGTAATTGGCAAAGCTATCCAAACAAATGTTTCAAGTTTGTTTACCTAAACCATAAGTTCTGGAGCAAGCATGTTCCTGTAGCCAATCTAAGGAAGCTTCAAAATTCCTCCTGGTCTCCTCACAGAATCTAAAAAGAACAAAAGAAAAAGTGTCCCTGTCACCTCTGTAATCTTTCCTATCTCTTGTCTCCTTTCTCCCCCTCATTCCTCCATCTTACGTCTCCACATTCTTCAAGCACTGGGATGTCTGTTTTTTCCAGTTCTCTTCTCCATAATCCAAGTACCTGGGAGCGGACAAATGCATTTCTTAAAGGTAGATGAGCAAAGTGACTAATGAAATTTTCTTCCTAAAAAGGAGACTAACCATTGGTCACATAGAGCCACCACACATTCATCTGAAGACCTGGACATTACTTGTTTCTCTGGTTCCATGTAAATGTACGCATCTCCCTAAATGAAGATAAATAAAAATACATCAGATATTATGCCTGATCAATCTCCACTCCTTATAGTGATTTTTTAAAAATTATGTTTTAAAAGAATATATTATCTCTAGTAACTAAAACGCATTTTTCATTCTGCATTCTCTCTTCTCACGGCTGTATTTATCTGCTTTTCCTTCTATACAAGGGTCAAGTTTGGAAAAAAAAAATGCAACTTCATCAAGCAGTCACTTTCCCTAGCTGACTATTCACAAATCCCGTGTTTTACTATCATGCCCCTATGAAATGAAAACGGAGTTTCCTATCTTATGATTTGATAGCCTATATATGACAGCCTTCTATTCTTGTAAGTAGGAAATTAAATGTATAGAACTACTTTAAAAAATACATAAAGATTAAACATGAAAGATCTTATTAAAGACTTATAGTGTATTAGAAAATTCCCCATGAGAAGACTGCCCACAAATTTATTTTTTAACAAAACACAGGCAAATCTTAATGTATTATATAGCCCCAAACATTTTAAACTAGGATTATTTTTAAATAAAATTCAGCACTGATACTCATAAAATAACTCATACTCTGTATTTTTAATGCAAATCATACTGAAATTAAATAGCTCAGGTTTTTGGTTTTAAAGACAGATGATTAAAAACAGACATTTAACACTCAAAATTATAAATAAATGACAACAAAGAGGCTTATTTAAATTATCTGAATCTACAAAGATGAGAAGAATGGGAGAAGAAAACATCAAACTTTGGAAGCCAAAAAGCAGGATGAGTGGTAATTGCTTTAGCTGAAAGAAGAAATCTTGCTTAATCCTAAACCAGCAGTAGAGAATACTGAAAAGCAGTCCAGTCTGCACTGTAGAAGCTCCAAAAGATGCAGGAATTTGGGGCATAAAACAACTCTGAAAGTAGAAATGAGAGGAGGCAGAAAAGAGATTAAAATCTTTTAGGAAAGAGTTAGAACTCCCTAACCCACACTGTGCGCAAAGGTATGAGAAGTACATTATCTCAGGAGGAAGACTTCCCTGAATTAGGGGACAAAGTCAAGAATATGGGTATGATAGTAAAACAGGCAGAACTTGTGAAAGTCAGCACAGCCCACTGCAGCACATGTGCCATAGTTTTGCCACCACTGGTTTAGACCCTTTAAGCAAAAGCCTGGAAGAATATCATGTAAGGAATCTAAAAACTGTTAATATCAGGGCTTCCCCAAAGCCCAAATGGCCCTTTCCAGACTTCCCCCAGGAGAGTCAAGTAAAATACCTTACCCACATGCAAAAAGGTTCCTTTTATACTCAATGGCTTAGATATCAATAATCTTCCTCAGAAAAGTAAGAAAAGATTTCACATTCAAGAAACAAGAACAGTATCCTATTAAAAAATCATTCATAAAACAAGAATCAAGGACTGGGAGTTTAGCTCAGTGGTGTCACCACCTACCTCACAAGCACAAGGACTGGAGTTTCATCCCCGCTACCAAAAAAAACAAGAATCAGCTCTCTTTGGCACTCAGGGCCTTGTGTATTAGCATGTGTTGTACCACTCAGCTACACGCACAGCTCCAAGACTCAGCTCTTGAAGTTGGAAAGTATTGGGTTTGTTGCTGTTGTTTTGGGTACCATGGATCAAACTTGAGAGACAGACACAGCGCCACTCAGCTAAAGCCCTGGCCCCTTGGAAGTTGGTAAGTGTTGAAGCTGACTGACAGGCATACAGGAATTCATCCATCTACCTTAAATGCTTTGTGCATTGGAAAATTTATATGTTAAAGAAACTTTAAAAATGAGTTCTCAAAAATTTAAAACTCAGGAAGAAAAGCTAAGGAGGCCGGGGATTTAGCTCAGTGGCACCATGCCTGCCTTGCAAGCAGAAGGTCCTGAGTTTGATACCAGATACCAACAAAAAAAAAGAAAAGCTAAGGGTCTTTCACAAAGAAAAACAAAAGCATACCCAGAGTCCAAGAAGTCCAGCACCTGAATAAGAACTCAGAAAGTAAAATAAAGAACAGGATGGGTGTGGGGGTGCACATCTGTAACCCCAGCCCTCAGGAAGCCGAGGCAGGAGGATTGCCTGGACTACATAGTGAGCTCAAGAATAGTCTGAACTACAGAGCAAGACCCTGTCTTAAAAACAAAGAAAGAATAAAATTAAAGGGCCAGGGATTTAGCTCAGTGGCACAGTGTCTGTCTTGCAAGCATAAGATTGCAGGTTCAATCCCCAGTACCAAAAAAAGAATAAAAATAAAGACCAAGAAGGGGTAAAATAAGGAAAGTTTAAAAAAAATTTTTCCAAAACTTGAAAAACAAATTTCCAGAGGAGCCTACCAACAGAATAATTAAAAATGTACCTGTACCAAGGCATACAATAAAATTTCAGAATACTGGAAGGGGGAAAAAAAAAAAGATCCTACAAGCTTCTAGTGTAGATAGAAAAATGAGTTTCAAAAACTTCAGTTACTGCCAGGTGTAGTGGTGCACACCTGTAATCCCAGCACTTGGGAGGCTGAGGCAGGAGGATTGCTGCAAGTTGAAACCAAACTACTATCAGATCTAGGCTACATACTGAGTTCAAGGACAGCCTGGACTAAATAGCAAGACCCTATCTCAAAAAATTCAAAACAAACATCAGTTACGACCCAGATAGTTTTGGATTCTCTGCCTCCATTTACCAAATACCTGAGAGTACAAGCATACACCCACATATCCAGCCGGATACGCTGGACTTTTTTTTTTTTTTTTCAGTATTGCGGATTGAACCTAGGGCCTCACCCATGCTAGGCAAGCACTCCCACTTAGCTGCATCTCCGGCCCCTTCACATACATTTCGGTTCCTTGTTTTGTGTTTTGAGACAGGGTCTTGCTCTGTAGTGAGCCTGACCTTGAATTCTCCATGCAGCCCAGGCTGGCTGTGAACTCATAGCAATCCTCTTGCCTCACGCACCAGAATGCTGGGTTACAGGTGTGCACCACCACACCAACCTTTCATTTTTCCTTTGATATAAGGCCCTGCTGGGCTCAACCTTGTGATCCTACTGCCTCCACCTCCTGAGTAGCTGGGATTATAGGCTGAGCCACTGCACCCAGTAGCACTGGATTTCTAAGAGCATCAGTGAACCACAGGACCATGGAGTAACACACTCAGATTCTTAAGGAATAATGATTTCCAATACGGAATTCTCTAACCAAGAAATCAAAATATAAATTTGAAAATAAAACCGTTATAGATATGGAAAGCCACAAAAATTTACCTTTCAGGTAATTTTTTTTCCAGGTAAGTTACCAGAGGCAGAGCTTATCCAAAATGAAAGAAAACAGGAAAAAAGGCCAAGCAATCAAGTAAGCAAGAGATTGAACTAAGAGAAGCAAAGAGAATTCTCAGTAATGAGGAGCATCCTGCATGCCATCTGCATTCCAAGACAGTACCAGCAAACAGGCCAGACTAAACAAGCAGAAGGCCCTCTCTAAGATGGGGCCAGTCAGAAGAGACTGAGAAAAGAAATACAGTCAGAAAAGAGTTTGGGATCTTTGATATGTATATTTTAAGATAATTTTTTTAAAAGACAATTATTAACTCCAGTGAAAACTAAATATGGAGAAAAAATTCTCACTGTATACTACAACTGAACTAACCATGTCTCAAAAATATACACAATGATGAAGATATACTCCTAAGTGAAATAAATAAGTCACACATGTGTAAATACCAAATAGTTTCTGTGGTGTGAATATTCTGCAACAATGCATAAGATTCTAATAAGATTACTGACATTTAGAAATTTGAGAAAAGGAGCTAAAGATGTAGGGAAGGTGTGATGCGTAGGGGAAGAACAAAAAGGGAAAAGAAAAAAATGTGAGAGAATGAAAAGATGAAAATAAAGTGTTTGTAGATGGGGAGGGGAGGAGGGGGTGAAGGGAGGGCAGAGGTAAGGGGAAAAAAAT